CGGACTTCGCGTAGAGCAGCACGCCGTCGCTGTTGTACAGCGCCCACGCCTCGCAGGGCAACGGGTCTTCGGGAATGTACGGACGCACTGAGTCGTCGAGACAGCAGGGGCCCTCGGTGCCGGCGAGCACGAGATTGGCCTTTTCGAGACACGCGGCCTTCATTTCGTTGGTAGCGAACTTCGCAGCTCCGGACATTGTATGCGCAAGTCTAAAAAACGCTGGTTTCGCGTCGCACAATTACAAATAAAAATGTGCACCGCATGGCTACACGTCTGCTGCGGGCCGGCGTTTCGTCCAATTTCGAATTAGCCCGCGCTTTTTGTAATTCCCTAATTATGCAGACCGAGGCGCTCGCAGACAACTTGAAAATCGAGGCTGCGCAGCAGCGACTCGCAGAGGCGAGTTTGCGCCGCAAAGAAGTCGTGTAAGTCGTGCGACGCGCGCCGCAGCATCGTGCAGAAGACGCTCAGCGACTTGCCGAGCGATCGCAAGTGCTACCGCGAAGTCGCGGGCGTGCTGCTGGAGCGCACGGTCGGCGAGACCCGCAGCGCGCTGCAGACGCTGCTGGAGCAGACGGACGCGGAGATTGCAGAGCAACAGCGCTCGTTGACCGAGCTGCTGGAAGCCGGGCGCAGCGGCGCGACTAGCCAAAAGCTTTGAAGCAGCTCAGCGTGTGCAGCACTTCGTCGCGGCGCTTCGCGGTGTTGAAGCGAAGCGTGACCGCTGCGGCAGTCGGGAACGCGCAGAGCTGCTTTGTGCAGTGGACCAAGAAGTGGCCCTCCGGCTCCGGCTTGTGCAGCAGGTTGTTGCGCACGAGCGCTTGCAGCGACTGTAGCAGCGTCGACTGCGGCACTGCGGCGTCTGTGGCGATGTCCGCGGCGGCGAAGTCGCGCTGCATCAGGTTGAAGCTCGCGAGCGGTTTCGCGAGCTTCGCGGGGTCCTGCAGAAACACGCAGTCGCCATCTTCGTATACGAGCAGACACGCGGTCAGCGGCGTGTGCTGCGCGATGTTTTCTGCGGTGACGAACGCATTGAACAGCTCGCACCAAAAGACGGCGCGCAGCGCGCGGAGCAGGAAGCGCTCATAAATCGCTGTCACGTACGTCGCGACGATGATGCACTCGCCGTAGACTTCCGCGGTGGGGCTGCGCGTGACGACGAGCGCGGCGTGCACGTAGCTGTTGGTGTCGTAGAGCGGGTAGACGAGGCGCGTGGTGTAGTCGATGAAGTTGAGCCCCGCGTAGCGGACCTGCGCCGCGTGTCTGCCGCTCTTGCGCATCGCGCGGCAGAGCGCGGAGATGTAGACGTACTTGTTTTCGACGTTGATGACGAGGTCTTCGTGTTTGGCAGCTTTGATCACGAAAAAGCCTTCGATGTTGCGGAGCAGTCGGATTTGCTGGATTTGGTCGTACGCGACGCAGGTGTAAAATTCGCGGTTCAGCGTGACGGAGGGCACGTGCTGCGTTGGCAGCAGCACGCGGTAGTAGAGCTCGGTTTTGCCGAGCACCAGCTGGAACGGGTTCTCGATTTTCGCCTGCGACAGGTAGCCGCTCGCCAGGTAAATCAGGCCCGGCGTCGAGTAGACGGGCAGCGCGGGGTTCAGTTCGATGGTGCTGTCGCTGGCGAGGTGCTCGAGCAAACCGAGCCGGTCCCACGTCTTTAGTTTCGTCAGCGAGTTCTGAGCGCGCGACAAGTCCTCGGTCGGCGAGAGGTAGTTCATGCAGCAGAGCGTGCCGTCCGACACGTCGGTCACGCACACGCGGTGGATGAAGTGCGAGTTCTTCTGGCCCATGATTTCGACCTTCTTGACGTTGAAGCGGTACTTGGTGGTCTTCAGCAACTCGTTCGCATTGAGGCTGCGCAGCAGTTCCGCGTGCTCGCTATGCGCAGCGCGGTAGCAAAGGTTCACGCGCGGGCGCTCGGCTGCGTGCGGCTTGCTGACGTACTTGCAGCAGTAGGCGTCGTGTAGCGTTATCGGGCAGGAGCGGAAGACCGCGCGCACGCCCTGGTCGATGTGCTGCGCGAGCAAGTAGAACAGCGAGCTGTTGCTGTCGACGCTGGCCCAGTTGAGTCCCGAGGCATTCGTGGCGCGGCTGCTGAAGAGCGCGATCAGCTGCGTGAGCGACAGTCGCGTCGACAAAATCTGCAGAAACTCGTTGAACGCGCGCTCGATGTCGTAGTCGCAGGCGACGCGCAGCGCTTTGAGCGTTTGCGCGAACGCGAAGAGCATGTGGCATGCGTTCCCGCGCGTGTCGGTCGCGAAGATCACGGCCGGGTTCAGCTCGACCAGCCGGCGCAGCGGCTTGAACACGCCTAGCAGCACGCAGAGGTGCGCGTAGGAGAGGCCGGAGTAGGGCAGAAACGCGGAGCGCGAGAAGTTCACGACGTCCACGTGGCTGAGCGCCTTCGGGTCGTTGCGCAGAATGCTGCGCATCAGCGTCTCCTCGCGCGAGTCGCCCGCAAGCGAGCGGCCCTCGAGCACCATGTCGACGTCCAGCGTGAAGAGCTCCGCGACGAGCTCTGCTTCGTGCGCGGCGCTGGTCGCCTGCGTGCGCTGCAGTTTCGCGACGCGTTCGGCGTCGGGATCTGTCACTTCGCGCGAGACGGCGCGCGCCGGCGGCGCGCTCTCGTCGGAAGACGAGAGCAGCGTTTCGCTCGGCAAAAATTGCGCGGCGCTGGCCACGCCGAGCGAGCGACGGCTCTCGCGCAGCGGCTCCGCGTCAAAGTTCTTGCTCGAGCCGCTGACGAGCACGCTCGCGCTGCGCGCGTTCGTCTGCAGCTCTAAATGCTCCTGCAGTTGCGCGTTCGCGCTCTGCAGCGTGCTCGTCGCGAGCGACAACGCCGACAGTTTGCGCTTGATGCGCTGCTCGCGCGCGACCAGGTAAATCAGCAGCCCGTCGACGTCGTCGTGGAAGCGCAGCTTCAGCAGCTCCTCGAAGTAGTCTTCGGTCATCTCGCCAATCGCCTCTGCGTCGAGCAGCGCCGCGCACTCGTCCAAGTTGCTGTTGATCGACTCTAGCGAAAGCGCGAGCTGACTCGCCGAGGAAGCGCTGGGCATGTTCACTCTTCGCGCGGCGGTGCGGGCGCGGCGATCGCTATTTTTGAATAAAATCGTATTTTGCGAGTCTTATTGCACGATGGACCCCGAGCGCAAGGCGCTGCTCGCGCGGTTTCTTCGCGAGGTCCGCGCGCTGGTGCGCGTCGACGCGGAACTCAAGCAAAGTATGTTGCGCGCGCGCCGACGCAGAGCGCGAATCGGTTAAAGCGATCCAGGCCGGCTTCAAACAGGCCAGCCGCAACTTTAAGGTGCTGCAGACGGTCGGGATGATTGTCGGCGAAGTCGTGCAGCGACTCGACCCGGAGCGCTGCATCATTAAGTCGAGCGCCGGCCCCCGTTACGTGGTCGGCTGCAAGCCGTCGCTGGCCGCGCGCGTGGAGCTTGGCGCACGCGTCTGCTTGGACACCACCACGCTGACGATCATGGAGGTTCTGCCGCGCGAAGTGGACCCGACGATCTTCACGATGTCTCTGGAGAGCCACGACAAGGTCGACTTCGAGCACATTGGCGGGCTGCAGGAGCAGTTGCGGCAGATTCGCGAGGTGATCGAGCTGCCGCTGACGAACCCGGAGCTGTTCGAGAAGGTTGGCATCACGTGCCCGAAAGGCGTGCTGCTGTACGGCCCGCCGGGCACGGGCAAGACGCTGATCGCGAAGGCGCTCGCCTCGCAGATGCACTGCACGTTCCTGAAGGTGGTCGCCAGCGCGATCGTCGACAAGTACATCGGCGAGAGCGCACGCGTGATTCGCGAAATGTTCACGTACGCGAAGGAACACACGCCCTGCATCATTTTCATCGACGAGATCGACGCGATCGGCGGACGCCGCTCGGAGGACGGCAGCAGCAGCGATCGCGAGATCCAGCGCACGCTGATGGAACTGCTGCACCTGCTCGACGGCTTCAAGGACCTTGTCGGCGTGAAGGTGATCATGGCGACGAACCGGCCCGACATTCTGGACCCGGCGCTCACGCGGCCCGGGCGGCTCGACCGCAAGATCGAAATTCCGCTGCCCAGCGAGGCCGCGCGGCTCGAGATTCTGAAGATTCACGCGAAAAAGATGGCTCAAAGCGGCCCGATCGACTTCGAGAGCGTCGCGAAGTTCACTGAAGACTTCAACGGCGCGGACCTCAACAACGTGTGCACCGAGGCGGGTATCTGCGCCATCCGCGAAGAGCGCAATTTCGTGACCGAAGAAGACTTCATGAAGGCCGTGCGCCGCATCGCAGAGGCGAACAAGCACGTCTCGCGGCTGCGCTACAACAAGATTTAGCCTAGCAGCCGAACTCCGCGTCCGGCGGCGGGTCGGCCGCGTCCTCCGACAGCTCCTGCGTGTCGGAGCCCTTGTTGCTGAACGCGGCCGCGCTTTTCGCAGCGCCTTTGCGCTGCTGCACCTGGTCGAACAAGTGCATCGTCTTCGTCACGCTCGCCTTCACCTTCGCCGCGAGCTGTTCGTACGGGTTGCCCGCGCTCTTGAAGCGCACGTCCATCAGCAACTCGAGCAGCAGCTCTTTCGAGAGCAAGTCGTAGCTGCGACAGAACGCGATCAGGTGCTGCAGCGCATCCGGCAGCGGCAGCCGGTGAAACGGCTCGAACGCCACGTTGCCAAGCAGCTCCTGGTAGCCGCTGAGCACCAGACTCGAGGCGCTCGTCGTTTTCGAATGGTGGCTGAGCGTGTTGTAGCAGCGCACGTGCTTCCGGCGGCTGCTAAGACGGCCCAAAAACTGCGGGAACTCCACGCGGTACACCGCGCGCGGGTTTACGTTTCGCACTGCCAGGTAAGAGTTGAAGTACGCGCACTCGGGCAGCAGGTCCCAGCGGTTCTCCGCGCGGATCTTGGTGTCGATGACCGCTGCGTACGCCGCCGCGTTCAGAAAGTCCGCCGCGCGCACCAGGTTCGCGCACTCCTCGGCACGCGTGCGCGCGCCGCGCAGCGTGTTCAGCCCGTTCTCCTCCACGAACAGCGGCATCACGCTGTAGTCCGTGAAGTAGTAGCTTGCCGCGCGCGCCGGCGTCAACGCGGCGGCTTCCGAGAAGAGCTGCTTGACAACCACGTACACGCTGTTGTAGTTGCCCAAGTTTTTCTCGGTCTGGAAGTGGTCCTGGTCCATGCAGAAGGCCAGTTGGCAGAGGTTGATGAAGTAGCGCATGTCGCCCGCGCAGTTCGCGAAGCAGCGCGCCGCGACGCCCGCGTCGAACGCAACGCCCTCACGCGCGCAAATCTGCTTCGCGCGCGCCAGCGCGGAGACACGGTCGCATTTCTGGTATTGCAGCGTCGTGCAGATTCGCAGCAGCGGCCGCATCTTCAACGAGTTGCAGTCGTTGCAGGTCAGCAGAATCGGGTGCCGGCTCAGCTGAATCAGCGTGCAGAGCTCTGCGACGCCGCCGCGGTCGCCGCTGCTCATGCCGTCGACCTCGTCCATCAGAATCAGCAGCTTTTGGCGCACCAGCGAATTGCGCCCAATCGAAATGCCCGTCACCAGGTCGCGCAGCTGCCGCAGCCGCGACTGGCTGCGAGCGTCGCTCGCGTTGAATTCGAGCACGTGGTAGTCCGCGTGCGCCGCCGCAGAGTACGCGGTGCTCGTCTTGCCGGTTCCCGGCGAGCCCGCGAGCAGCAGCGCTTTTTGCGCGCGGTTCGGCGTCCACTCCTGCAGCCAGCCGATCGCGCGGTGCAACAGCTCCTGGTTTGCCGCGAACTCCTCCAACTGCACTGGCCGGTACCGGTCGGACCAAAGCTGGTACTTCACCGTCTGCGCCGCTGTCGCTGTTGCCGCCGTGCGCGAGTGCTCGAGCGCCGCGCCGTCCAGCTTCGGCAGCTGCAGCAGCTGCGGGAACTGGTCGAAGAACTGCTCTTCGGTCAAGATCCGCAGCCCGCGCTTGCTCGCGCCACTGGCGCGCAGCTCCGCCGCCTTCTGGTACTTCTTTCCCGCCTCCACCGGCCGGCCGTCCTCCAGCTGGCCGCCGCAGACCAGCAGGTTCGTCAGCCCGCTCACGCTGCCCGTCACATGCGCGCCGAGCGTCTTCAGCCGCTCCTCGAGCGTCTCGCGGCTCACGCGCGTCGTCACGCCGGTCACCACCACCTTCAGCCCATCGAGCGCCGCGTTCTCGAGCCGCGACTTCTTCAGCCCTTCCTCCGCGCTCTCCGCGCGCATCGTTCTCGCTCGTGCTGTCGCCAAGCTCGCTGCGCCTCGGATCGCTGCGTATTTAAATTTATTTGTTTTACTTCGCGTCCGACTCGGATGCGAGAAACTCTTCCGTGCGCGTAATGGAGGACTCGACTATCGACGCCGAAACCAAAGGCGCGTACTCTGTGCTCAAAAAGGCTGTTGAACAGAACTTCCAAATTCTCGTGCTCTGCCGCAACAACCGCAAGCTGCTTTCGCGCCTCAAAGCCTACGACCGCCACATGAACATGCTGCTGTCCGACGTCCGCGAGTTCTGGTACGAGCGTGGCGCCAAGCCCGCTGCCAGCGAAGCGCAAAAAAAGCGCCTGCTTAAGGACCGCTATTTTTCTTGTTTGCTGTTGCGCGGCGACAACGTTGTTGCGGTATTGAAAAACCCAAACTAATGGTTTTCCGTGCGAGGACATCGCCTGCTCTATGCTGTTCTTAACCGCAGCTTGCTTTCTCGCAGTCTGCGCAATCGTCAATCCACAGCTTTCCAGTGGCGCTTGGCCTACCATTCACCGTGAACCATACTGCTCCCAAACCGCGCCTTTCGCAAGCCTCACCGCCAAAGATTTTGCAACGCGACGCTTTTCGGTGCGCATTCTTTTCGGCGCCGTCACGCGCGGAACGCTGAGTCTGTACTGGATCGCCGCGGACTCGACCGTCGTCTGGGGCAGCAGCCTCACCAGCATCTTCAAACTTGACACTGCCACGCTTGAGATCATCGACTTTCTGAGCAAACCCGTCGCGAACGACCAGTACCGCGGCATCTATAGCTTCGTCGACGCGGCGGGCGAGTTCGTCTCTGCGAACCGACACATCATTCTGCGCGCGGCACACAGCGTGCCCGGCGACTTTTACTCGCGAATTGCCGTGCAGGGCTACTTCGAGCTCGACACCGCAGACCGCGGCGAAGCGATTATCTCCGTGAGCAAACTGTTCGACGGAAACGTACTCTGCCTGACCAACCGTGGCGCCGTCACGCTGCTCAGCAGCGACCTGCGCCAGGTGATCGACCGACTCGTGCTGCCTGCAACGATCCTCCATGGATACGTTCCGCGCGCGCGGCAACTGTTGGGCTGGAACGGCAATCCTGGCCTGGTGCCGTCCGCGTCCGCCGCGGTAAATGACCATTCCAGTCCAGGCGTGCATGAAGCACTTGAGTCGACCACGGTCGTATCGAACAGTTTAAGCTTCGACGAGTACGGCGGCGTGTACATCGTCACTTCGAACCGGTTGCACCGCGTGGTGTACAACCGGCTTCTGCGCAAACTACTCTTCTCGGTTGAAGACTCGCCATACGTCTACGTCTCCGCTTTCGGCACGCGGAGCGTGGGCGTGCACGAGGTTGTGCAGCAGGCCGCGTTCATGAACCGCGCGTACCAGCTCGTGACTTTCCTGCAGCGCAGCCTGCGACACGCTCTGCCCTGGAGCGCTCCGTACCCGAGCGAGCGCCGCGTTAACGAGCTGCGGCTCAGCAGCGTCGGCAGTGGCACCACGCCAACTGTGTTCCGGCTGCACGACCGCCTGTTTGTCACGATCTGCGACGGGCTGTTCCGCCAGAACTTGATGGTGTTCGACGCGTTCACCGGCGAGCTCATTGCAAAGACGCCGGTGACGTTTGGCCAGGAAACCGGCGAGTCTTACACGGAGCAGAGCGCGGTCGTGCACAACGGAGAGATTCTGGTAACGCAGAACGCAGCGACGCAGAAGGCCGTTGCACTCTATAACTCGGTAAAGCAACGGGGGATCAAAGAGTTGTTTTCTGTCTCGCATGCCTCGGCGGAGTTGCGCGAGCGCATCGACCACAACTTCCACCTGCTCACGTTTGCGTTCGGCGACTCGCCCGTTGGCCTGCAAAAGTTCGCGTTGCGCGAAACTGCCGCAAACCGCTTTGAGCTGGTATCGCTTTGGGTTAACCGCACGGAAGGGTGTCCTAACTCGATCCCTGTGCTGAGCACAGAATCGCGCCTTGTGTACTGCATCTCGCGCCGCGAGGAAAACCTGAACCGCTACGCACAACCGTTCCGCGGCGTTTGGACGCTCAACGCGTTCAGTTGGGACACCGGCGAATTGCAGTTCCGCGTTGACGTCGGCAAAGGGCTGCTGTACAACAGCTTGTTTGCGGCGACGCAGATTGACTCCAGCGGCAATTTGTACTACGGAAGCATCGGAGGCATCGTAAAGGTGGCGCTCGAGCCGTGACTCGCAATTCGAGTTTCTCGTGTGCTGTATATCGTTTGGAAACCGATTTCATTATGATCGCGCCGGAGCAGAGCGGGTTGCGAATGAACCTCGTCAAGCTGATGCTGCGACTGATCGGCTGGGAGCTGAAGGACGAAGACTTGCGCAAACGCAAAGCCTTCTTATTGCAGAACTCGAGCTTCGTCCCGGTGATCAGGCACAGGTTTGACGACAGCGCGGAGTACCACGTGTTCGTCGAGACGCGGCTCGGTTTCAGCCAGCGCGAGCCGGAGCTCGTGGCGCGCGCGGGGCTGAAGCCGCGCAACGCTTCGCACGTGATCGTCTGCGTGCGCTGGTTCAACCCACAGTCCGTGCTCGACTTCTTCCGACTCGGCTCGCGTATCGTGCTGAACCAGGACCGGCTGGACGACGAGTATAGGATGTTTAGCCAGAGTTACTACGCGCTTGCGGAGCGCATCTGGCAGCACGAACCGCTGCGCGAAATGCTTGCTCGCGTGACTAATCCGGGCTCGGAGCGCTACGTGACTTTTTGCGGCTTCAGCATGGGCGGCGTGGTCGCGAGCATCTTGAGCTACAAGTTCAGCGAGCTTCACTGCGCGCACGCGAAGACGCGATGCATCGGCATCGGCTGCCCGAGACCGGGCAACGACCGCTACTTTGCGTGGTTTAAGCAGAAGATGTCGAACGACAGTTTCTACATTTTGGTGGCGGACAAGGACAAGCTTGACCCGGTCGCGACGGACCCGCGCGACTTCCCGGCGCATCCGAATTGCTACGTGCTCTCGAAGGGCGACATGCGGAAGCTGCAGAACGGGTTCGACACGTTCGTGCCTGCAAGCAAGAAAGGGCCGCTGGACGTGCTGCGAAACAACTTGCACTCGATCAAGTACTACTACGAGCAGACGTACATTTAGCCGCAGCACGCTGCGAGCCGCGAAAAAGGCTCGGCTTTTTTTAATAGCGAAAATGATTGGAGTGAGATCGGCGGAGCTGCGCGGCGGCGAGCAGTGCGCGGCACTGCCATTGTGCAAGGCCGTGCCGCTGGGCGCAGCGACGCGCGCGGCACACGAAAAGTTGTTCGCGTTCGACAAGGGCACTACGACGCTTGCGTTCAAGTACCGCGGCGGCGTGATGGTGGCGTGCGACTCGCGAGCGAGCCAAGGCACGTTCGTCGCCTCGCAGACGGTGCGCAAGATTATCGAGATCAACGAGTACCTGCTGGGCACGATGGCGGGCTGCGCAGCGGACTGCAGCTTTTGGGAGCGGCACGTGGCGCGGCTGTGCCGGCAGCACGAACTGCAGCACAAGCAGCGCGTGCGCGTGAGCATGGCGGCGAAGTGGCTGGCCGACTGCTTCTTCCACTACCGCGGCTACGGACTGAGCTGCGGGACGATGATCGCGGGCTACGATTTCGAGGAGGCAGACAGCAAGCTGTTCTACGTGGACGACTCGGGCTGGAAATGCGAGCGGCAGGTCGCGAGCGTGGGAAGCGGACAGGGCTACGCGTACAGCGTGCTGGACAACGGCTACCGCTTCGATCTAAGCGACGCGGAAGCGCTGCAGCTGGCGAAGCGCGCGATCTTCCAGGCGACCGTACGCGACGGCGCGAGCGGCGGCGTGGTGCGTGTGTACCGCGTGGCGCAGGGCGGCTGGCAGAAGCTGGTGGAGGCCGCGGACGTCGCTGTGCTGCAGCGCGAGTTTGGCGTGAGCGGCTAGCCGCGGCCAAATTGCGCTCAAAAGCGTAAAATAGTTTGTTTGTATACAGGTGCATATTTTGGATGGTTGGAGTAGGAGCGGCGAAGACGACGTCGCCGTCGAACCCGTCTCCGTTTTCGCCGGAGTTGCTGACGTTTCTGATCACGAAGTACGACCCGCTGCTATGCGTGGTGAAGACGCTGAACGAGCGGCTGCACGCGGTTGCGAAAGGTAGGTTTGCGGGCGCGCGGCGCAGAAAATTCGCAGCTCTCGCGCAAGGTGAACGACCTCGAGACGGAGTTCCACGAGCTGCGCGCGGCCCTGGCGCAGGAGCACACGAAGCTGCCGGGCATCGCCGAGTTGCGAAAGGAAGTGAACTCGCTGAACTTGGTGCCGAAAAACGAGCAGACGGCGGCGCGCGAGACGGTGACTGTGCACAGCTGCGCGCAAAACACGCCCGTGAGTCTGCTGCAGCTGAACTTGGACTTCATCCCGGAGCAGACGGCAGAACTGGACGTGCAGGACTGGTCGCGCGAGATCGACATGTGGGTGGACTTCCTGGAGAACCTGCCGTCCTACGTGGAGTTCGAGATTCCGAAGTCGATGGTGCTGAGCGACGTGCGGGCGGCGGCGCGCGTCGCGCTGATGAGCATGATGCGGCACGAGGTGCTGTTGGTGATACACAACGTGCCGGGCAAGAACGCTTCCGCCTCGCGCGGCGCTTCTTTGATGCTGCTAAGCGTGCTGCTCGGCTCGATCTTCGAAGCGTCGAAGCGCGCACGTAGCGGCTCGCACGCGGCGGCCTGCCGCACTGCGCTCGTGCTGAAGGGCGACAACGTCGGGAGCAAGCTGGTCGCCGGAGATCTGAAGATCGACATAGAGCCGATGGTCTAGCCGCGGCCGGCGAGCATTTTTAGGCTTGCGCCTAATCGGCTCAACGATACTAAAACGTTCATGTACGCAAATTTTTTGAGTCTTTGGCTGAGCGCGCGGAGAAGGCCGACAGGCGGAGCGAGCGCGCTTGGCCGCATCATCCGCGTGTACAGCGCCTTCTCGCGCCGCTGTGCCGCGGCGACCGCTTCAATCAGCGCGCGGCTGAGCGGGTCTACGCTGTCGAGGTGCAGCGTCTTCGCGGCGGCTTCTGCCGGCCGCCCGAGCTCAAGCAGCGCCTTCGCGCAGCGGTAGAGCGCTTTCTGGTTTGCGGGGTCTGCCGCGAGCACGTCCTGCGAGTGTTTCAGCGCTTCGCCGAACTTGCGGAGCTTCAAGCACATCAACGCGAGGTTCAGCTGCGCGCGGTTGAGCTCATCGGCGTACTGCTGCATCAACGCGGGCGGCGCGGCTTCGCGTGCGAGTTGCTCGACGGCGAACGCGGCGCTGCGGAAGCGCAGCTGACAGAGCTCGTAGCAGCGCGCAAAGTTGCGCGCCGCGAGCGCCGCTTTGAGCTCCTGCCGCGGATCGGCGTCTGGCGGCGAAACGCCTGAGTTCATGAAAGCCGACTGCGCAGAATCGAAGTCAGAAGGTTGGCGCGAAAGCGGCGATTATTTGCAGCGCAGCTAAATTCTGTATTTGCAAAAGCGGCGTACATATTCGCAGCGCCGCGCGCGCTAGCTCTGTGGCGCGCTGCTGCGCATTTGCTTGCGTTTTTGCAAATTCGACTTCGCGCGCGTCTCCTCGAGCTGGAGCAACGGCGTCTGCGGCGGGGCGAAGAGCAGCTGGTGCAGCGAGTGCGTCTCGCCGCGGCGGTACGCCTCGGTGCGGTTGAGCAGCCACTGGCCGAGCTGTTTCTGCGAGTTGAGGTTGAAGTTCTTGTCAATCACTTCGTCGAGCCCGATCAGTCGTTCTTTAAGTTCGCCGTACATGTCTTCGAGCGCGCACACGTTGGCGTACATCTGCGAGCTGGCGTTTCCGTGGTCGCCGCTGTGCAGCAGGCAAAGCACGGCGTCTTCGCCGTGGACGAAGCGCGCGTAGTGTGCGCAAGTCGCGTGAACCTGGTTGCTGCAGTCGTCTCGCGAGCAGTTCACGGTGACGCCGAAGGCCGCGCCGCAGATGTCGCACGGCGCGGGTTCCAGCGGCGCGCGCAACGCGAGCTGCTGGCCGCACGCGAGCTGCTTCGCGCAGATCATGTGCAGGGTGACGCCGTCCACGCAGATTTTCGCGCCGCCGATGCGCGGACACGCTGCGCAGTAGGTTTTGCGCCCGAGGCGGCAGTCGAGGCACTGCTTGTTCTCGAGCACGCGGAACATCTGGTTCTGTCTTTTGAAGTTGTTGCAGCCAATGTGCACTTTGACGTTGCTGCAGGAAACGCAGGTGCGCAGCTGCGACGGGTGCTTCGGCACGACACAGACCTGGCAAAGCTTCGGCTGGAACCGGTCCTCGGCGCTGCGGTGCTGCGAGCCGTCGACGGGCTCGAGCTCGCGCGTCGCGTCGTCGCTGGCGTCCGCCTGCTCATCCTCCGAGGCGCGCGAGACCGGGATGCGGCGCGAAAGGTTTGCGTTTTTCAGCGGCTTCGCGGTGCGCACGCCAGCGCCAGCGGCAGGCTCGGACTCTTCGCCTTCGGACTGCGAGGAGTTGCTGAAACTCTTCTCCGCGGATGCGCCGGCGTCGACCCTGTAGCGCTTCGAGGCGAGGTCGTCCTCGTCCTCGCTGGTCTGCAGGTTCGAGAGCTGCGCAGTGTCCGCGTCGGCTTCGTCCTTCGTCTGCTTGTACAGGTTAAGCGGCGGCACGAGCGCGAAAACCTCGTGCGTGTGGTAGCAGCGTTGCCTGTGCGCCGCGATGGTCTCGAGCGGCAGCCGGCCCTTCATCGCGAGCGGGTGCTTCGGACACGTAAAGGAGAAGCGCAACGCGCTGAGCACGTGGCCTTCGGTTGCGACGTACGTGCGGCTATAGTCCGTGACCGAGCGCACCTCGCAGCCGGACAGCCAGCAGCACAGCGGATGCATGCGCACGGCGCAGCCGCGCACCGAGCACGGCACGGTCAAGCCGCAGTTGCCGAAGGGGCGGTGCGTGAGCGGCGTCTTCAGTATGTCGCCAGCTTTCGCGCGGAGCTGCGCCGCCGAGAGCTCGTACGCTTCTTCGAGCGTCGCCAGCCCTTGCGCCGCGACGTGCTGCGCGTCGCAGTGGAAGCAGACCGCCGCGTGTTCAGAGGCGAGAATCTCCTCGATCGGGCAGCGGATTGTGAACATGCGTAGCCGCGCGATGTCTTTGCACTCGATCAGCTGCGAAAGCCAGAACGCGCAAGTGATGTGCACGAAGGTGCGCTGGCCGAAGCCGACGCCCACCCCGTGCAGCCGCTTCATCGGCCCGCCGCGCTTGAGGCAGACGGCGCAGAGCGTGTATAGCGAGGACTTGAAGCGGCGCACCAAGTCGTTGCGCGCCTTGCCGACGTGCATGTCGATCGAGCAGACGTCACACTGCCAGACGAACGACTCGATTTCGAGCTGTCCGCTCGAGCACACGGCGTAGCAGTTGTTGTGCACGCGCACGTGGCACTTCGAGCAGCAGGTCAGCGGATTCAGCGAGTCGCAGTCGACGCCGAAGCAGACCTCGCAGAAGTACAAGCGGTTCGCAGTGTTCGCGGGAACGGAGTTGTCGCCGGTGACGCTCGGAACGCTGTCGGGCAGTTTGTTGGCGAACTCGTGCTCGACGCGCGACACGATGCTTTCGGGCGGGTCCTGGTGGCCGTCCTCGAAGCAGACGCGCAGCAGCGACCAGCGCTGCGCAATCGCGGCGCTGGTGTTCACCTTGGTATACAGCTTTTCGCGTTCGGTGAGCGTGGGCAGCCGCTTCGAGTCGGCAATCACGCGCCTCTTGACCGCGGAGACGATCTTCTGCAGGCGCTGCCGGTTCTTTGCCCACAACACCAAGTGCGCGACGGTCTGGCGGCGCACGAAGTCGTCTTGGAACAGTAGTGTGCGCCAGTAGGAGTCGCTCGCGAGGATGCGCACGAGCTCTTCGCCGCGTTGCGCCTTCTCGAGGTCGGCCTCTTCGACGCTCAGCTGCAGCTCGTTCAGCTCCACGTTGTTCGCGCGCGCAGTGCGGAGGCGCTGCGCGCAAGTAAGCCACTCGCGCGCGACTTCGTCGGAGAAAGGTATCCTGTTGGAGTTGGTGCCGAACGCGCCGGTCAGGCTGTGCAGACTGCCAAGCATGTGCGCGTTGGCGTCCGCGGCGTCGCGCGAGCTCTCGGACGCGATGCGCAGCGAGAGCGAGTAGCTGTTCCGCGGAAACAGCGGACGGATGAAGCTGTCGGAAGTAGGCGTGAACGGATTGAGGTCCCAGATGTACCCGTGCAGAAACATTTTCTTCGAGGTGGCTGCGGTTTTGCGCAGCAAGAAGGGCTGCAGTTGATCGGTGGCGGCCTCGCGATCGCTCAGAAACTTGATGATCGTGGCCACGTTGACGGACGCGGAGCGGTGCGAGTTGAACAGCTCGGCGGGCATCTTTTTCATGATCACGAAAAAAGAGAAGAGCCCGCTGATGCGCGGGTTGCCGAGCGTCGGGTTGAGCGGCAAAGCCGCGGCTCCGGCGGTTTGCTTTGCGGCAGCGGCCTTCGCCCGCGGCTCCTCGCAAATCGCCTCGCAGATCACGCGCTCAATTTTGCCGATCTCGTGCCACGCGGCTAGGTCCAAGTAGCGGAACCGCGTCGCGTCGCTCGCGGCTGCACGGCCTTCTGTCTCGCCGCCCTCGAGCGAAAAGTCGAGCAACTGGCAGAACAGCGAGTTCGCGACAGTCTCGTCGCTGGCCAGCGGCTGGTCGGAGTCGAGCAGCTCGCGCAGCGGCTCGAAGTGCAGCGCGGAGAGCGGCACGATCGCCTGGATTTGCGCGTCGGCGAATAAGACCAAGTAGTGCGGCGCGACGTACGCGGGTGACCGCTGTTTCGAGTCGCGGCGCAGCAGCGTGTTGTTCTGCACCAAGAACCGCTTGCAACTTTTGCCGAGCATCGACTCGACGTGTTCGACGAAGTAGCGGACGTGGGCCAGTGGCTTGGCTTCCACCCAGCCGTGGCGCATTATGGAGCAGAACGA